GGAGTGGTTATTCTCCTTTAGTCAACCGTATACAATTAATAAGCAATATGTGACGGACATTATTACTTATTCACTACTCATAATTAAGAAAAATTATCTGATTCATATGCATAAATTTATATAACTTACAAGTAAATAGGAATTAATATTTCACTCATTAAGTAAAATAACTTATAACTAATAAATTTACTAATATATAATAAAATCACAATAGCTCATGTTTGTTCCTCATTTTTTTAATTTTTTTCCAAACACATTTTCAATCACATATTAATGACATCCACAACTTTTATCAACTTTTCAACCACACATTTTATCAATTTTTATCAAAATCTACTAAAATATTGATTTTTAGCTAAATCAAATAGGCTTATAAGAAAAAAAAATCACTTATAAGTAAAAATCATTTTTAAGTGAAGAATTTATATGAAGAAATAAAAATTGCGTAAAAGTAAAATGTCATTTTTAAGTTAAACATTTGAATATAATTTAAACACGAGTTAATTATGAGAAAAAAATTACTTATAAGTTATAAATATTACTTAAAAGTAGAAACATTATTTATAAGTTAAAAAAGATTTAAGTGAAAAATCACTTGTACATGAAAAATTACTCATGAGATAAGTATCACTTGTAAGGAAAAAAAAAAAATTATTTGCAAGTAATAAAGTCACTTGTGAGTTCATTTACCTATAAATAAGAAAAAATATCTTAAAATTAATATTATAATATATTTTTTATTTTTCAATAATTGTAAATTGTTCCAAACTTGTCCATATAGTTCCATATCTATGAAAGAGTGAAAACATGAAAATCGCGGATAATCGTCCAGTCCCTATTGATTCATTTATGAATGCCAAAAAGCTAAACAAAAAGACTTTTTAATTTCGTAAATTATCGAGAATTTGAATAAAGAACACTCAATTTTTTATTTGATTCAAAGTACAATCATAAAATCTTAATCTAAAATATAAAACTATCATAAAATACAACTTGTTGGAATTGGATGAATATTTGATGGAAAATTTCTCGGTGTTCAATGAAATCAACGAGAGTTTGGTAATTTTTGTATTAGAGCATAAACGCATTCGTGATAGAGGCGGTTTGATGCTCAAAATATCTAAATAGTGAAAATTATGCAAAGTGATGAGTTAACACAATTGCGTCTAAAAGTGATAGTGTTGGAACAACTGATAGAAATGGAAAAACTACATCGACAATTTGAGGTTTTGAAGCAAGAGATTGATGATATTCTATAATGATGGTCTAGCCGTCCTAAGGGCATAGTGGAGGAGGACTCCGATGGTGACAATAACATTTTTACTTCCAATTCAATCCCAATGCGTAGGATATTGATTTAGACGAGGATTACGATAACAAGCCTATTTTTTACCTGGAGGTTGACGAGGATGTTCAAGAAGGTTATATGGAGGAAAAGATGGTGACCGTAAATAAAGGTGTGGATTGTGATGGCACGACTATTTTTTCCCTGGAGGTCGACGATGATGTTCAAGAAGCTTATATGGAGGAAAAGATAACGAACGTGAATTGATTGTGTGCTTATGTCAGCAATATGGCTTTCTAGCATTGCATTTGTGGATTGTTTCACCATTGAGTACGCTATTCACCTGGTTTGCATGTTGTTGCATGAAAAGGAATGGATTACCTATTTTCCCTAGTCCCGAAATTCAACTTGATCTTGTGATACATTTAGAGGTGTCAAGACGGA